AAGAACTTGACGTCATCTTTTTCCTCTCCAAAGGAGTGTAACTACTGTCACAAAACAGATCATGTTGTATTAACCTGTCCCATTAGAGTTTGCAAGTTTTGTCACAAGAAAGGCCCAGGTTACTACCAGAGTAAGTGTCGTAAAAAATGGCAATCTCGCACCAATTCTTCTAAAGGTTCTTCATCTAGACACAATCATCTATCCTCCTCCATCACTGCTGCCACCGCTGAGGAATATTGTCCTCTTGCTTCTACAGTCGCAACGACGTCCACCAACGATATCGAGGCCCTTCCTAAACAAATTATCTCCAATAATGGTACTCCTCCTTCCACTGCTATGTCAGTTACCTTAGGTAATTCTTGGTTTTTTTATTCTGGCTGCTGTAATCACATGACCTCTGATTCTACAATGTCTTCTAAACATCATCCTGCCATTAATGCACCTACAATTCATACAACTGATGGATCTCACTTACATGTTAATCACATCGGTCAAATTTTCACCCCCAATGTCTCACTCTCAAATACATTTCATATACCAAAACTTACAATCAATCTTATCTCTGTTGGTCAGATATGTGAACTTGGACTTAATGTCACTTTTTTTTCTTCCGGTTGTCATGTACAAGATCTACAGACGGGGCAGACCTTTGGGATAGGCCGTAAAGTGGGACGTCTATTTGAGCTCATCCATCTCCGCGTTCCTTCCCATTGGCTCTCTACAGTTTCCACTGTTACTTCAGCAACCTTTACTCCTTCACTTAGCCTCTGGCATTCCCGATTAGGTTATGTATCTATTGGGCGTTTACGCTTCTTAGCGTCAACTGGGCAATTAGGTTCAATTAAAAATGATGATATAACTTGTTTACCTTGTCAACTTGCTAAACAACCTGTTTTATCTTTCAATAAAAGCACATCTTTTTCTCATGCTCCTTTTAACCTAGTACACTCTGTTATATGGGGACCTTCTCCTCACAATACAATGGGGAAATCCCAATACTTCGTTATCTTCATTGATGATTATTCACGATTTACCTAGCTATATCTTATGAAAAATCACTCTAAACTACCCCAACATTACTATGATTTTGCAAATATGGTCAAAACCCAATTTTCATGATCTATTAAAATGTTCCACGCTGATATTGCTATAGAGTACAATGAAACAAATTTTCTAAAATTTCTTCAACAACATGGCACAATCTCTCATTCCTTTTGTCCTAGCACATCTCAACGAAATGGGCGAGCTAAACGTAAGCATCGGCATATCTTAGACACTGTTCATTCTCTCCTAATATCTAGTTCTTGTCTTGAGCATTTTTGGGGGGGAAGCAGCTCTCACTGCTGTATACACAATCAACCGTGTTCCAATGCCTATTATTGGCAATCAATCTCCCTATGAACGTTTATATGGCATCTTTCCGGCTTATAATCTTTTAAAGGTTTTTGGATGTGTTTGTTTTATCTTACTTCAGCCTCATGAACGTACCTTGCGCTCGACTGTGCTGTTTTCTAGGTTATGGAATTAAAAACAAAGGATACAGATGTTGGGATCCCATTTCCAAACGTCTTCGTATCTCTCATCATGTCATCTTTTGGGAACACAAAATTTTCTCTTCTCTATCCAAATTTCATATATCTTCTTCTTCTATTCCATTCTTCTTTACCGATTCTTCAGTTGCACTCTTCCCGGATAACACAAATTTAATATCTTCATCTGAGAATCCAAACACTACTTTAGACATATCGTCACCATCCGAGCTTCCATAAATGGCCTTACATAATAAATCTTCTTCATCTGAGATCCTAAACATTACTCCAGATCTAATGTATTCGTCTGAGCTCTCACAAATGGCCTTACCTGATAAATCTATATCTTTTAATGATCCTACTATTGGCTCTTCTCCATCAGATATCATCACCACTATTAAACCTTCTCGATAATCTGATCGGGTGAGAAAACCTCCTAGTCATTTATGTGGTTTTCAGTGTTTCTCCACATTCATGTCTCATCATGAGCCTCAATCATACCGTGAGGCTAGTTCTAGCCTCCTTTGGCAGCAAGTTATGGCAGAAGAATTATAGGCTCTCACACAAGCTCATATATGGGACATGGTTGCTATTCCTTTTGATAAAACTGTTGTTGGCTGTAAATGGGTTTACAAAATAAAAACTCGTTCTGATGGTTCGGTAGAACGATATGAAGCTCGTCTAGTTGTAAAGGGTTTCAACCAAGAATATGGCATTGACTATGAGGAAACATTTGCCCCTGTTGCTCGCCTTACTTCTGTTCGTAGTCTATTGGTTGTTGCAGTAGCCCACAAGTGGACATTGTTTCAAATGGATATGAAAAATGTCTTTCTCAATGGTGATTTCATTGAAGATGTATATATTAAACCTCCTCCAGGATATGATCATTCTCCGTACCAAGTTTGTAAACTCCGTCGCACTCTATATGGTCTTAAACAAGCTCCAAGGGCTTGGTTTGCAAAATTTAGTTCCACTATTGGAGATTTTGGTTTTACTTCAAGCTCATATGATTCTAGTCTTTTTATTTGCAAAAGTAACTCTAGAATTACTCTTCTTTTACTTTATGTTGATGACATGATAATCACTGGAAATGATCCTGCAGGTACCTCTACACTCAAAAGTTTCCTTAGTCATCACTTTGATATGAAGGATCTTGGGCGCCTCAGTTATTTCCTAGGCCTGGAGATTCTCTCCGATTCAGATGGTTATTATCTATCCCAAGCCAAGTATTGCTCTGACATTCTTGCTCGTGCTGGACTCACAAATTGCAAGACAGCTCCCACTCCCATTGAAACCAATGTCAAGCTCACTCCTCTAGATGGTACACTCCTTAGTGATGCTACATTGTATCGACAGTTGGTTGGCAGTTTGGTATATCTTACTGTTACTCGACCTAACATCGCTTATGCCGTGCATCTTGTCAGCCAATTCTTATCTACACCTCGATCTACCCACTATACTGTTGTACTACGCATCCTTCGATACATTAAAGGGACTATGTTTTAGGACCTTCACTTTTTTTCTCACTTTTCACTTGAGTTACGTGCCTACTCTGATGTTGATTGGGTAGGTGATCTAACTGACCGACGTTCCACTACTGGTTATTGCTTCTTCCTTGGGAACTCTCTCATTTCTTGGCGTAGCAAAAAGCAATATGTCGTCTCCTGGTCCAGTACAGAGGCCGAATATCGTGCCCTTACTGATTCCACATAAGAACTTATTTAGCTTCGATGGCTCTTAACAGATATAGGTATTTCTCACTCCACTGGCACAGTTCTCTATTATGATAATCGAAGTGCTATTTGCATTGCTCATAATGATGTCTTCCATGAACGCACCAAACATATTGAAATTGATTGTCATATTGTGCATCAACATATTGCTTGGGGTACTGTACGTCTTCATTCTGTGACTTCCGCTGATTAGACCGCTGACATTTTTACCAAAGCTCATCCACCAGGAAGATTTTGGGAATTAGTTTCCAAACTCAAGTTGGTTTTTGCTCTACCATCTAGAGTTTGAGGAGGGATGTTACCATAGTTAAATTATATTATAGCCGTTGTATAGATTGTTACCATAGTTAGATTATATTATAACCGTTGTATAGATTGTTGCCACGATTATTGTATAGCCGTTGGTGATCTCTCATCTATTTATACCCTTCTTGTACATGATTCATATCAATTTGAATATACAAAACATATTCAACATATATCACTGTGTCTCTCTATCTTTCTCTTATATTCAAGATATATATCGATCTGTCACTTTCTTATATTCAACATAGCTCATTCAACTTTCTTCAACCATTTGACTGGATATCTGGAACTAAAATGGTTAAAGGTCAAGGAGATGATTTTGGCTTTCGTATGTGAGTTTATTGGGATCGGATCGGATTAGGATTGATGCATAATCCGATCCGATTTGAGGCCACTCCTAATAAGAATGTTAAAAAACATTATTTATTCGTCTAAATTACCCTTTTATTTCAAGGTGCCACTCTTGTACACCGACGTACCACTCTTATGCCCGCATGTACCCTTTTTTTCTTTGGCAAACCAAGACTTTTTTTGTGCAGACCATCCTGATAACCTGATTTGGACAAAAAAATGATACCTAAGGGCACTAGGATAGGTGGTATTTTATACATAAGAGTGATACTTACATAAACAAAAGTGATATTTAAAAATAATAAGATAATTTGTTCTAACTATATTTTATGAAAACATAATTATTTTGACTTCATAAAATGATAAGTAAAATTTCAAAACTCTATGTTTAAACTTTAAACTATCCCAACAGTTTTCGGTTTGGAGTCTTGGGAGACATCGACTTCAAAGAGTCAAAGCAACGACACAGTAGTAAGAACCAATACTGCTATGGATCATTTAGGTGCATTTTAGCAAGTAGAGTTCTACTTCCAAATTTTCAACAAGAAAGTCTATGATTTGGTTAAACTTTGGTTTTATTAATTTTATGTAAGGAGTACGCCAAGGAGTGACGGACCTCACCCTTTCAAAATCTTACTGCCTAAACCTTGTAGAAAATTGAAACTTGCAAGGACATGACATGCAGTTCTGTACTACCTCTGATCCAACTTTCCAAATAGTAGTATCATTGTATATTATACACTGTCATGTAACCATATAAACCGAAATCATATGCATCTTCGATGAAATTATAGATGAGATCGACCTCTTGTTGGTTTGTGACAATTACAAGCATCATTTTCTTTAAATTAATTACGAGAGATAGAGAGCTTGGAGGAGAGTTGACAAACTCATGCAGCTATTAGTATATTGAAAGAGAAACATTTGCAACTAAAGAAAAAAGAGGAGGACATCTTCAACCCACTTATTTATGCTAAATAGATTAGGATTCTGAGCAGATGATGATACATCTGTTTATTTTTAGCAGACAAACCATTTGGTGGGTTCGATTTGGTTGGTACAGAAATGCCCACATTTTTTTCTAATTGTAATACCAGAACTGGGATTGAAGATAGTCAATAACGTTCTTGTCCAGTCGGAATGCCTTGATTAGAACATCCGGAGAAATGGGTGGTTTCGATCCAAAGACCGCGTTTGCAATGGTGATGACTCCCGGGTTTTGGCTGCTCAGGGCGGCCAAAGCTACTGCATTAGTCTTTCCAACATTGAGTTGGAAGTGAATGAGACCAATTGGGAACACAAAAACATCACCAGGATTCAAGACCTTAGTGAAGAGAGTGTTGTTAGGATTGGAGGTGACGAACCCAACGTAGATGGTACCTTCTAAGACAACAAAGATTTCAGATCCGCGTGGGTTCGTGTGGGGTGGGTTTAGGCCATTTACTCCGAAGTCAATTCGGACTGCGGATATGCCAAGAGTGTTGAGTCCTGCTATTTGATCAACAGTTACTGGAGTCACTGCTGACCCAACTGGATTCGATGTGTTTTTAGCAATTTGCAACCCTGGAAAGAAGAAATCATTGGCTGTGGCCAGCTTCGGGTTCCTGCAAAACTTCCCATTCACGAACACTGCGCAACCAAAGTAAAAGTAAACTTTATCAATAAAATGGACCGAGATATATCCTCTATTATACAACAATAAAGGTTGTGATTGAAACACACATACACGAAGTACTACTATGTATTTCAATCATATATGACCCAACTCCATTAGAATATAGAACATGCCAATTGGAAAATAACGAAATGAAAACCAATTAATGTGGACTACTATACCCTTTCACATAGAACAACAAGAGCATTCATGCATGTGAAAAGGCAAAAACAAATTAAGACTAATTAGGTCTAATGGGATAATATATGCATATATGTATATCATATATACCAGCTGAATTGGGGTCATTAATGGCAACACAAAAGTCCTGAAGAGGGGCGGGGTCAGAGGCATATGCTAGTGAGAATGCAAAAGCAAAGATGGCTGCGGCTACAAGGAAGTGATTGCTCATTTTCAACTTCTTTGTAGGGTTGCTTGGATAAATCTAGCATTGGGGGGGTGACTATTTATAGATAGAGGTGTTAGGATATGTGTGCCCTAGCATAGCAAATTCTAATTTTGGATTGTAAAAATCATGGTTTCTTGTCGGGATATTATTATTAAAGCATTATACAATTGGTGAATGGAATGTATTATTTTTCGATTCTTTATGGAATTGATGGTGTCCGCTTGATTACAAAATATATTTATATATGTATGTAATGGCAATTAATACTATGATATAAATTAGTAATCATAAATGATTTAAAGTCGGTAATTATGGATGGACATTTAATTAGTTAAGACTTAAACCGAGTCCATGATAGATTGAGATATATTGTGAGAGCTGTCGTATGCAATTGCTCTCTATCACAATCATGGCTTTTGACTCTCAAGCATGAGAGAAGTATAGACTCTTTTATTAATTAATAATTACTTTGATTTGTTCGGCGGATACCTCGGGATCCTTGGATCGACACTTTGGGTAGTTATGTAATTAATAATTAGAGGTCTATATTCTCAATATTTGCATCAGTGCTATTTGTATTTATTTTGTTTTGATTATGGTTGATCACAAATTAAATTCGAAGGCCTTCGTATGTTTTAGACAAATGTTTTATATATATATATTTATTTAATAAATTATTATTTTTTGGCAAATAAATATTTTATTGTGATCAAGCCGGAAATAATCAAAGGTAACAAAATAATTATATTAATTATGTTGTCGGATTGATGGCTTTAATTATCCGATAAATAATTAAGCATAGAGGGGTCAAAGTGCAACATTGACTTAGAGGTTATTTACTATTTAATTGGAGTGCAATTAATTTCTTTTAGTGGAGTAGAAATTAATTTATGAATTAATTGAATTGGGTCCATGATTTAATGGACCGGACCAATTATTAATTTATAAGAGCCAAGAAAATAGTAAGCCCAAAAGGATTCTCACCAATAGCCTAAGTTGATATTGGAGTCATGTTAGGATTGAGAAAGTTGAATTAGAGATGAAGAATGATTTATTGTTTCCTTATTCTTATTTTTATTTTGCCTATATATACATGAGTTCATGTATATTTTAGGTGTGACTTGGAGAACAAGAAAAAGGAATACACTTTCTCTTTCTAGATTTTAGGGTCTTGTTTCTCTTCTAAAGGAGGCTACCACCAGCCTAGATTCCAAGGTCATTCATCAAGGCATATTGGTGATTCCTAAAGGGAAGATAATAATCAAAAAGAAGGAGAAAGGATCTTGCTAAAGGGATCTACAATAAGTGAGAACATTCACTTTAGAGGAAAGTTCAAAAGATTTACTCAGACCTTTGATGTGAGTATTCAATCTGTTTATTGAATTATGCATCATCTTGTATTTATCTTTGCATAAAACTTGTCTCCATGTAATGAATCAAGACCTATGATTGCAAATCTCTCAAAAAGTTTTAAAAATTTGCACGTTTCCCAACAAGAGGGTACTCTGTTAGTTATTAAATTTTTTTGTTTACTATTTTTATTTTATTTTTTCTGAGAAAATAAGTTGGTTACGAAGTTATCCAAAAGCTACATTTGTCGTAGGTTAACTCTTTTTTTTAGTCTCAAGATCGAGTCATTTTTCATATGTTAGCTCTTTTTAATCTCAGGTCTACTCCTTCTTCAACAACTATCACCCACCTACCATCTATTTTTCCTAATCTTGCATCAACAGGTTTTATCTCCGAAACAATGACTATTTCAATGTATTGAAGTGGTCTTTTTTTTTTTCTTTTTTTCTTTTTTTTGTTTAATCTCAAGATGAAGTCATTTTTTATGGGTTAGCTTTTTTTAATCTCCAGTCTTTTTTTTTTTTCTTCATATATTGTTTCTGCTTTTTTTTCACACACACACACACACACACACACACACACATATATATATATATATATATATATATATATATTTCTTGAATAAATTATTTCTTTTGATTGGAGCCAAAAAATAAAAATAAAAAAAAATACTCTTTTGACAGGACTGAAAAACAAAGTCAACTTTGTTGAACAAATTATTTGTTTTGATTGCACCAAAAAAAAAACATCACCAATAAATTATCTCTTTTGACTGCCGAATAAAAAATTATTAGTATGGAATAAATTATCTCCTTTGAGAGAACCAAAAACATCACCAATAAATTATCTCTTTTGACTGCCGAATAAAAAATTATTAGTATGGAATAAATTATCTCCTTTGAGAGAACCTCTGAAAAATATATATATATATATTTATATATATATATAGCATAAGAAAAAAAAAATAGTAAAGGAACTAAAGAAGGAAATTTAAAAATAATAATAATAATAAAGTTATATAAAGAGTAGTTATGGTATTATAAAATAAAGTATAGTGCATTAATGAATTGAATAATTTTCTTGTCATTTTTTTAAAAGAAAAAAAATAAGTGTATTATTATTTTTTAAAAATAATAATCATGATTTTAATTAATTCATTTTGACAATAGTAAATTAGACGTCTATCATTTTTCATATATTGTTCAAGTCAAATGCTCAAAGAATATTCTTTCAAAAGAACACCTAATACATAGGTCATGAAAAGAGGAATGATGTTGCTGTCATCTCATTAATCAATAATTTCCATGGTAAAATATATATAGGTTATTATTTCATTTATAAATATTAGCATATGGACTTATTATTAAAAAATAAAGCAGGTTCCATCGAGGAGGGATTAGAAAATTTTGCCACATAAAATTCACCAAATATGGGTTATGTTGAATTATTTTACACATCCTAAACAAGTCTAAACTGGGCAAATTAATAATCTTAGTTCCAAGTTAGTTTCTTGAGAGATTTAAAGTCAAATGCACCATTGTATGTAGTAGAGTTTGAATTATTCATAAGCATGCAGTTAGATTTATTGGCAATGCGACTGATTCCTTTCATTAGATTGGAACTCAATATTTTATACGATGGAATTGGTATTCTCTTTTATTTATATTTTTTCTTTTACAAAATCTAAAACTTAATTGGTTATTGATATTAATAAGTTTGGATCATTAGTCCAATTGGTATAAATCACTTACGGGTCCTCCTTAGAATAGAGGCAGGGGTTCGAGTCACTAACATTTGTGGATGTAAGTAAAAAAAACTTACTATTTTTATTTTTAATTTAAATTTTTTTACATTAGCAAGAAGCACACACATTTTTGTCTTTGCTAAGACTTAAACTCTACTCCTTTTTTAGGATGAGGATGTTATACATTAAGCTACATATTATCTGTTAGAATATATTCTACAATATTGTAATTGTAGAGTATATTCTAGCTATGTATAGGTTTACCATATAAGGTAGGTTTCTTACTCTCTGTACATCTCGTTACCTATATAAATCCCATGTATCTTCATATCTCATACATCAATACAATACAATACAGATTTCTCTCTTTTATATTTAACATGATATGAGATATCTGCCACAACAACCTGCCACGTCAGTTGTTAATCGTGTCTCCATCTTCATCATGAGTGAAAAACTATCTTCACCCATAACAACCAGCCACGTCAGCTGTTAATCGTGTCTCCATCTTCATCATGGGTGAAACCCCATCTTCACCAAATCGTTTCCGCCATGCCGCTTTCAAGATCTTAATTATTTCCAAACTCATAATAGGTTTATTCAATCCACCTTGATTTATTATTTTTTTTTTTTTTGGAAATTTAAGCAACTAATATATATGAAAAAGATATACAATGAGGGCCTTAGGCCAAAAACAAGCCCAAAAGGGCAGCAAATAAGCCCAAAGAGGGACAGCTTAAATACCAAAAGGTAAAAACCCAAAACAATAAAATCGCTATTAACGGTAGATTAGCCATTAATGGTAAACCAATCAGGTAGTTCAAAGCAGTGATCCGGCGCCATTGCCGGCGAGAATTAATCTGGTGTCCTCGGGGGTGGACGACACGAAGAGGGTGAGAGATCCCAGTCACAAAGAATCCTGGTAGAGGCATGGCTTTCCTTCAAGCATCCCAATTTTAGAATGAAAGTGATGGTGGAGCAAATGCGGGTGAGTACAGATCTTTGTGAAGTTTTCTTCCGTCTGAAAATTCTATCATTGAGCTCTTCCCATGTGTGGTACACAATTGAAGAGAAGCAGACTTTGCGAAGAAGATTGATAGCAGATTTGACCTTCCATTGGATACTAATACATTGGATTAGGTTATCCCAATTTTTAATTGGAGAATAGAATTGAGCTTTTTGTTTGATGAATCTCCACAATGGTGAAACAAAACAGCAATTGAAGAATAAATGTTCATGAGATTCTAGTTGAGTATGGCAGAGAACACAAATGTTCTCATGTTAAGCCATTGATTTGTTATCCAAAGTGGGGAGCTTGGACTGAACTGCAAGCCAAAGATTAAACTTCATACGAGGGATAACTGGAGTTTCCCAAACCAGGTTGTGCCAAAGAACTAGAGATTGTTGTTCCATTAAGTAAGCTGATGTGAACTTGAGGTTGTATGTCCCTGAAGGAGAAGGTGCCCATACCAATTTGTTGTTTGTTGTTGGATTTGGTGGAGTCAAATTAAGGAGCTCTGGAATTGAGGATACAATGCAGTGTGGGAAGGACCAAGTAGAGTTAATTATGAAACTGCCAACTTTGATGTCAATGCTAAGTCCCCCAATCTGTGAGAATGTGACTTAGAAACCTAATGCTTAGATGACCTCCTAGGGGTGCACAAAAGAACCGTGGAATCGGAACCGAAACAGTGGGAACTAGAACCGAATTTCTGGTTCCCACGGTTCTGGTTCCTAAAACGAGGAACCGTTTAGATTCGGTTCAGTTCCGGTTTCACGGTTCGGTTCCGTTTAGATTCGGTTCAGTTCCGGTTTCACGGTTCGGTTCCGGAACCGAACCGAACCGTAATATATATATAATTATATTTGTGGGCTATGGGATGTGCCGCTATAGGCTATGGGCGATTAG